CCCCTGACTCCAGCCAACAGCTTCCAGTGATGTACAGAAGATGATGCATTTTGCTGAATTAAAGTACATCCTATTCCATGTCCCTTTTCAGGATGTTGCACATGCAATTGAAATGCAATAACAACCATAAACAAAACAAGAAAAGACAATTTAGGAAACCTGAATCCAAGACCAAACTCTTGCTTTGGAAATAAAAAATCCAAAACAATACCCCAAACCTAAGAAGACCTTAAACAGTGAGAAGGTTTTAGGAAAAGTTACGTATTTACAAGTCTCAGGCAGTTACCTCTCCAGGGAGGAGATTTTGTAACCCTCCCTCTTTCCCACCATCCATCCCCATCATAACAGAACAAACTAACCAGGGCTAAATTTGAAATTCCTGGAATTATTCACACTCCTTGTATCATTTACAGTCATGTATAAAGAGCTGCTGATTATCTGTGAGATACACATTCCCTGCTGCAATTGCTTATGGACATGAACTACTGGACACACAGTTGTTCCCTTTCCACCACCACTGCCCAAAACACACCCCAAAATCAATTATTGCTACTTGTTGGGTAAACAGAGGCAGTTTCACATACATGGGCACTGCACTCGGGCATACACGTACCACCGGACATGCACACAGAAACAACTTTCCTCTCTGGAAAGACAGAATTATTCACATTACAGACATGTCTACCCTCAGCTTTTACTTCTGCCAGAGAGGACACAGGTACGAAACAGAACAGGAATGATGCAGGTACATGGGTGGGCGCAAGTTTTCTATTAAAAGGACAGCAAAACGAGACAGAACAGACACAAGGTTAGCCAGGTGTGCATGCGTCTCACCTACCTTCGCATGGAAAAGAAATCTCCGAGGGAGAAGTCTCCAAGTCAGAGAAGCAAAATAAAATAATAATGAAGGTGCTTTGAAAAAATTTCCCCACCGAGACAAAAAAAAGGCCCCCCCACCTCCCCCCCTTGCACACAGGCACACTCACACGCAGACACACACACCTCGGTGCCCGGGGTGGGGAGAATAGGAGAAAAAAAGATCAGGATCAGCTGAGTGATGGGGAGCAAAGAACCTGCCGGCGAGAAGCGGGGAGTTGTGTTAGATCCGTGCCTGCAAGGACTGAGCGTGTGCAGGAAGGAGATGGTTTAAAAGGAGAATACATGGTAAGAAATTCTGGCTGCTCAGGCTGGAGTCTGGAGCTCTAGAGTCAGAGCAAAGAAAAAGAGGTTAAAAAAAAGGACCTCTTCCTTCACAGGAGGGCTTGGGGGGGGTTTTGCCTCTGTGTGTTTTTCCAGGCGAGTGGTGTTAAGTGACAGAAGCTTCCTTCCAAAAAGACCAGAGAGAGGGTCAGAATAATTGCAGGACGCTGAGAGGTGATGGAGGTGTGGGTGGGGGCAAGGTAAGCTATTCCATGGTGGGGAAGTGAGGAGGAAGGGCTGGTGTGTGGTTTCTGTCTGTCTCGCTCTCTCTCTGTCTCATGGTATGTTCACCACGGCTTATGGAGCGAACTGCACAGAGAGAGAGAGAGAATAACTGTAAGGCAGAGAGAGAGAAACACCGTCCTTACAGTGACACCAAATGTCTTTAGGGGAACCTACAATTAGAGGCACAGAATGCAGGAATCCTTGCAACACAGGAGGAAAAGCAGAAATCTCCTTGCACAGCATCACACACCTGCATCCACAGTGGGGTCTCAGGACAGCTGGTTTGCCCTTTCCTTCAGCCCACTCAGCCTTCCTTTTCTGGTGGACACTGCCTTCAGCATGCTTGCCTTTCCTTGAACTTTTAAGGTTGTGTCCCTCCGCAGGTCACAGATCAAGCAGGTCAGAGAATTATCATTTGGGAAGAGTTAAAAAACCAAACAACCCTCCCCCAAAAGTCCTTCCCTCAAAACCAATCCCTCCTCTCCGCCCCATCCTACACCCAGATCTGTTACTGGAACTCAGGGGGTGGGAACAACTCTCTGCAAATTAGTTTCCCTGGTGCTTTGTGGAGCCAGGGGGAAATGAGGGGGGTGGATAACGTGCAGGAATCCCACTTTCCAGTGGCTAGGACAGAGTACAGCCTCCCCGAGCCTCATCCAATGGAGGGCCAGCACAGCCATCTGCCCCCACTGGTCCCAGTCCGTGGCTGAGCAGCCCTACCCCACGTCAGCACAGGCCCCTCATTCTTGAAGCATTGACCTTCAGTTTTCCTACTGGAGATACCAAGTCAGCTCTGGGAAAGAGACACTACAGGAAGCCATCACACTCCTCAAGCTTTTCATGGGTTTTGCCCGTTCAGGCCAATAAAATTCCAGGTGTTATGAGACATGGAGATATTCTTGCTTCTACCATGGGCATATATTTTAAATGGTACAACACAGCAAGACAGCCCAGAAGTTCCTCTGCTTTATTGCAGGGCTCTACAAAGCCTCTCCAAACCTTCCTCACCAAGATGATGTCCACTCCATGTCACAGATTTTGCAGTGCATGGCTAGAATAGCTAGGTCTAGGTAATTAACTCATCTAAACTGCAAATGGCTGGGCAACCAAGCACTTTCATCATACTGAGAAACAGACCCTTGGAGGTTAACTCTCCACAGGAAGGCAATGGAGCAGGCCCACCTGCTGGTAAAGTCAGGACCACTCTGGTTTTCCTCAAGGTAGCTGACATGGGTTCACCACCTAGGATGAAAAACATCCAGTAAATCTCCTCTCCTCTGCAATTTATCTCCATGTGGCTTTGGTTTGCTGTGGCAGGGACTTGAGGCAGAAGTCAAGGAGCCCCTAGCTACTTACAACACATAAGCCAAGCTCCTTGGAGCTTGAGCAACATGGTTGGCACTATCACTGTCTCTCACGGGGCCCTTAAGACTTTGGAACAAAGACAATGGCTGCTGTACGCTTTTAAAGCAACAATTTTGTGTTTTTTAAAGTATCTAATCTTGTTACCTGTCCTGAAAGGTAAATTCATCCCTTAGAGGATCCTCAGGCTGCTCCAGAAGTGATAAAAAAGAAAAAGAGCAGTGTTATAAGCAACTGGAATGTTGTGAGCATCAAATGTTACCTGACTAACCGCTTCCATGAAAAGCGGCTCGTCCCTGGACAAGTTCAGGACAAGTCTGTCTGTTTTCATAGCTTCTGACCAGGGCTGCAGTTCCATGGTGTACCCACGCATGCTTTCACAAGCTGGAAAGAGATTTCATCCCAGGATAATAATTTTCTGTGGTGGCCAGACCCCTCCCTGCCCAGGGTCAGAGCCTGTTTTTCTGGGAGCTGTGCAAGACACAATCTCTGGTCACCTTTGGCCCCAGAGATGGTTGTGCTGACCCTGAGTGCATTGTCCTGCATGAACTGGAAAGTTTCCACTGGGAACAGGGAGCCCATCCACAACAGGAAGCCCTCGAAAGTGAAGGATTTTGTGACATACCAACCTCATCTTCTCAGTGTGATGGGGATGCGGTGCTGGGCACAACCACAGACCCACAGTAGAGTTTGGGGTGGTATCAAAGCTCTGTAAGTGTCCCAAAAGCTGGCTGAGGCATATGCCCAAACAGATCTCTAGACAATCTCTCTAACTACAAAGGTGTCAGGCTACTCCTTCCTCAACCAGTTCTGGGCAGTCCCCCAAGAGGTTTTCTCCTCCCTAAGGGCCCCACTGGCACCAGACAGTGAACATGCAGCAACCACAGGCATTCCACATATACACACCTACCTGCATGTGCCTTCCCCATTCCTGCATGTGCCTTCCCCATTCCTGCACACAGAGGGGCTGGCTGACCCTTTAGTCCCCTCTGCTAGCAGGGCCACTCTGAGCTGCCAAGGTTAATCTCCTTGGCTCCTTCCTCACCAGCCACAACATGCTCACCACTCCCTCTCCTCATAAAAAACATCCATTATTCCTTCCCAAGAAACAGAAGGGCTTCAATTCTGTCCCAGAAATGATGAATCTGAGCATTATATGATTTCAGATGCCTGTAATTCACCAACAAGCCCCTTCAGGGGAAACAGGGAAAAATGCAATTGAATTTATTCATGCATGAATATCAAATGAGAAAAAGAGAATGAGGAGGGCAGGAGAGAGAGGGAGAGGGTGAGGCAGGGTGGAGAAGCAGGGCAGTAAGGAAAAGCAAAAGAAACAAAATGTTGAAGGGAGATGAAAAGTACATGCAGAGGGGCAAGCAGGACAGAGGCACATAAACACACACTCAGGACAATCCGTGGGTCATCTCTCATGTCTTCATTTTAGGATCATGTCTGTTTGCCTTCCAGCACACCCACAGCACAGGGATACAGAGACACTTGAACTCTCACTCAGACAAACCCTCCAAATTGATAAAAACATGCTACAAACCTGGAAGGAAGGGAGAGGGAAAGGGGCTGGGTGGGGAAATGGAGTCATGCCACTCAACACATCCTGGATTTGGAACTGATGAAAAGAGCCAGCCCGGGGCAGCCATGCTCCAGAGCAGAGCCCCTCACCCCACAACCCTCCCCATCCATGCATTCTGGGGGGAATTCCGTGGGCTTCCTGGTACATACACCCCAGGCACCCCTCCAGAGCAGCAATTCCAAGCCTTGGGCTGGGAAGCTGTTGCCCTCCATGAGCAAGGCTCTCCTCTGCACCATCCACAAGGGAAGAGACTGAAGATGGTCTCCTTGTCCTGCAGCTCACAGGGCTCCATCTTCCACCCCCAGTGCACTTCAGGGAGTTTTGTCATCTGTCCTGAGTGATACCGGTGGGATTTCTTGGAAGTGCCCTGAGGATAGGTCACACCAGATTGTGAGCATGGCACAAGCTGGTCCTACTCTTGCATCCAGAGCGTTTCCAAGAGTCCCCCTCTGTCCTTTCTGTAATTTTTGAGAGGAACAGAAAAGCCCACATTGTTCCTGTCACTACCTGAGCCAGCAGCACTGGCTGGTGAGTTTGTAAGGAAAGTGAGTCACTGTAGCTGCTTAAGAAGGTGGACCAGGGGAGAGGGGAAAAGCAGGAAAGGGGGAGCTACATCAAAGCAGAGACAGCTCAGTGAGATGCAGCCCTCCCCTCTGCAGGTTTGCAGGTGGCTGTGGGCTGAGCCCACCAGGCAGCAACCTACACTGACTTTAAAGGCTTCTTCCAGCCAAGTCTCACTGGCATCATCTTGCCCTCTGCCAGCTGAGCCAGCCCCAGCCCTTCCCACAGATCCTGCTCCCCTGCGTGCCACATGGGAGCCAGACACAGGGAATCCTGTTGCTGTGCCACAGGAATGGCTGCACAGCCCATTCCATCCTCCAGCTCATCTGCACAGTGCACAAAACCCCTTGGAGCTGGGTCCACTGTGTGCCCAAATTTGCCATGGCTGCATGTTGTCCAAGTTCATCCCCAGGCATGCAGCAAGGAAGAGGAGCACTCAGACAGAAAGCAATATTTGTTACAGTGCTCCACGTAGGGCATCAGGTCCTGCATCTGTTGCTGTTGTGGGTTTATGTTTGCTGCTTCCAGGAGACAGAGCCCAGCTTTTCCCACATCCTTCAAAATAGAAAGAGAAAAATAAAATGAGAGAGAGAGTGTAAGCTCTGACGTGAACCTAACTTTAGATCCAAGGGCTGATGACTCACTCCACTGGGGGAGAAGTGGCTGAGCTGGCTGTAGGTTTCTGTTTATATACCTCACTGAGCTAAATATGTAGACTGAGAAGTTCTTCTGTTCTGGCCCAACAACTTCAATCTGCATTTTATCCATCTAAATCGAAATGTTCCCTTCCCTACTAAATCTCTCTCTCTTTCCCCCCAGCATTGCCTTCCTAATCCCCTTTATGCTTGCTTTGTTGTAGGAAATTGAAGAAACACATGTCCCCACCTTCCACTCTGGTGTTTATGGTTAGACTGACAGGGGATTTCTGGGAAATGATTCAGTGTTGTGACTCTTAAGCACAGCTCCTCACACAGATCTGCCAAGGCATTCCAGACCTGGCCCAGCACTCCCAGCCATGCTGCTGGCAGTCAGGTCCTCCTGATCTGCTGGTCCTCATAGCTGCACAGCTCACAGGATGAACACCAGTTCCCTCCCAGGGATCTCTTGTCCCATTGCTCCAGCACAGAGCTCCACTCCTGACCCCACACGCATGCCCCAGGGCTGGCAAGGTGCTGTCTCCTCCAGCCCACTGCCCTGTGGCATGATGTCACTTTGCCATCATGCCTCCGGCCCTGGCTGTCACACTGTCAGGTGCCCCATGAGCAAAGGCTGACACCACTGCCAGCTATTGTCCACTTCTGAGACCAGAAAACAGATTTTGTCATCAGCAAAGGGTAGCTCTATGAGAGCTCCACAAATCTTTTCACTTGCCAGAGCATGGCTGGCACTCCCAGCACTGTCCCTCACACATTTATGGCAGGATGGTGCCACGGTCACTCTCCCATTTGCCAATTGTCACATTTCAGACACAGGCTGCAAAGCTGAAAAGTGGCCATCAGCTGCACAGGAGGTCACTGTGGATCTGTAACATCCTAACATCCTAAAGCTGGAATATGCCCTCACCTCATCCCTCCTCATCTGAAACAGCAAAAGGGATGGTTAAAAAAAAAAAAAAAAAAAAGGAGCTCAGAAAGAGACAAAAGGGAAATTATAAATTAATCCCTCCAGTGGAGAAGAGAAACAAAGAGCGTGCAAGAGAAAAAGGAATCTCCGCCCCAAAGGGCAGCTCTGAACTATGGTGGCAGACAAGTTTATAGATAAGAAACAAAGACCATTTACAAAAAGGTGGTTCTATGAAAAGCAACAGTGGAGAAGAAAAGCATAATGAGAGAGTGTGTATTTGACAGAGAGGTCTCCGAGGGATGAAATTCAATTTAACTCAGTCCAGGAAAGGAAGATCACCTTTGCAGTTGAAGCAGATGCTGGAAAGAGGAGCATTGTGTTCAAGAGCCCTCTGTGAATCTTCTCTAGATGTAAGTCTGTGGGACCCATTGGTGAAACCTGGATCTGAGGTTCCCCAAGACATCCTTTGGGTTTGGACTGTGGTACATCAGTCCCGAAAGGACAGTCTCATACAGCACCTATTTGTCATCTTGCTCCAAACCTTCTCATCTTCACACAAAATATTAGAGAGTTGATTTCCCAGCAAGTATCAAAGCTGAGCCATTCTGACCTGCTTCACCCCACTGATAACCCAAAGGAAACATGGAGAGTCTGTACATTCTCCATGCAAGAAGCACCAGCCCTTCATTTGGAGAGCACAGGCAATCTAACAAGTGTGTTTGCAGAAGGACAGGCTCTGTTTAGGCTGAAGTCAGCAGCATCCAAGAGATCCAATGCTCTCCTGGCTCAGTTGTGCTCCGTGGCTCTGTCAGGCAGCCTCTGCCTGCCCTCACACAGCCAGAGGGAGGCCAGAACAGGCAAGAGGCTTCCTCCGATCAGCAGCTACTCCAGGAAGCAGAGAAAAAGGCAGCAAAGGCTAGGGAGCCCCCCAGGGCAGACTGCAGTCTCCTCTCAGGCATGTTCACTGCTTAAAAAAAAAAAAGAAGAGAGGAAATCTGTGCCTCAAATAACAGATAGTCCTTCCCACCACCCATCCATCCCTTTGGCCTTAACTCTTTGAGGCTCTGTGCCATGTTCTGCAGAACTGCTTTGTCTCACCTGGCTTTGGAGCCAGGGCAAACCTCTGCACTCTGCTGAGTGGCAGGGAGCAGCAAGGGGTCGAAAACCAAGAGGGCTGCTGGGGCCAGTAAGAGCAAAGGAGGAAGATTTAGAAAGGCAAAATAAAAAGGCGATCTTGCAGTGACACCTCATGATGGGTTTGCACAATGTAGCCTGGCCCAAGAAGTCCTGGGCCAAGGGCAGAAGTGGAAAAGTACTGAGGTGGAAGTCTGCATGGTTTCAGATCAACAGAAAGTGAGACTCATTCACGTTTGCTACAGCTCAGGAAAGGCATGACCTTGACTGAGACATTGCTTTTCCTGAGAGCAACAAAAGCCCAGGGAAGGCAGTAGACAACTCCCAGCACAAATGATAGAGGACACCTAAACCACTGATGGATTCAACCTTTTTCCATCATACTGTACCCTCTGGCAGAGAAGCTATGGACTAAAGGAACAAAACAATATAAGAATGAAAAGGAAAATGTGCTTTTTATTGTAGGACTCACCACTGCAGCGGAGGGGTAACTGCAAAGATGCCTTTTGCTGAATCAAAAGCATAAACTGGCACAATATGAAAGGTTTGAGACTCACCTGCTCTCCAACATAAGTGAAAATTTATTTCATCCAATGCTCCTTATTCTAGGCTTTGGAGCAGGAATTAAAAAGATCAAATCCCCAGGACATAAGCTTGGAGGTACCTTTCCTGTTGGGGTGATTATCTCCCCAACATTCTCTCTTTCCAGCTCTATCTGAAGCACAGTGCATACTGATTTCTGCCTCATCAGAGGGTATATGCCCTTCCAGGAACTTGACGCTACCAGCAAGGAATTTTCCATGTCTAGAAATTGCTGATATACTTTCTCCTCTATTGTTGAAGTATAAAACAAGGCATCTCCTCCAGCAATTTTCAGCTGGAGAAATGTTACATAAGCACTTAGTTAGTTCTCATCTTAGGGACGAGGAAACTGAGGTCCAGAGGAAGAAGGTGATCCATTCAAGATCACCCTGCAGAGCAGATGTAAACCTAGGTCTGCCCAGTCCCAGCTCAGCACCCCCAGAGTGGGTCAGCTCTACCAGCAGCCAGCTGGGAGATCCCCTGTTATCAAATATCATCTAATGGAAACCAAATCTGACACTTCAAGGTGTGCACTGCCATGGGGAGGGTGAGGTAGGTGTTTCCTGCCAAACCTTCCATCACACAGCTGTGTTTTTCACTGGGATAGGCTGTTTAACTTTTCTGTGAAGGGAGAGTATGGGCAGAAATTCAGATCTTGGAGTAGATCAGCTAAAGCAATGTGGCATACCCCGTGCTTCTAACTCTTCCCAAGTCCCACAGTCCTCTTGAGTATATTTTCTAAATAAGAAAGGAAATAGAAGAGACAAAAAGATATAAATATTGGAGGCTAAATTTGAGCTACAGCAGTGCCTGAGGGAGAAAAAGAAGAAAAAATAAACAAACAAAAGAATCAGAGAACAGTTTATCAGATGCAAGGTTAGGAAGGGACAGGGGTTATGGTTAATAATAAGCCAGTTTGCTATTCTGCTCCCAGGCTAGAACCCAGTCTCTCACTCCCTCCCTGTCGCTCACTCTTTCTGCTCCATCACCTCGCGTCAGGCTGGGGATTTGATGCGAGGCTCCTGCCTCTTCCCAGGGCTGCACACCGCTGACCCCGCCGCCAGCATGGCACAGCGAGCCCTGGGCACAGTGACTCCTGGGCACAGCAATACACCGGGCACAGCGACCCCCGGGGTTGCCAAGCCCTGGGCACAGCGATCCATTGCGGGCTGGGAAGGGAGTGCTGGCAGCACACCGAACCTGGAAGGAAGAGTTGTGCACTGGCTGGCCATGGAGCAAGGAGAACAGTCTGTCTGAGCACCCAGGGCTGCACGGGACAGCCAGAGCTGAAGGACGCGCACAGAGCCACCACGGTCAGCCCAAGTGTTCTGCTGATACAGCTGCTCCAGGGCTGGTACCAGGCAGTGTCTGCACAGCACTGTAGTGTGCCTTGTATATGTCCAAGAGCTGCTCAGGAGGCCTGGGCAAGGACAGCAGGGTTTATTTCCAGCTTGCAGCACAAGCATGCCTCTGATCAGCCTGTCCTGCCCTCTCTAATGTACAGACTTTGAGCAGAAAAGCTTCCTTCCACTCTGAAGCCCACTGCGACACGAGGTCAGCCCCAGCAATGTGCAGAGCAGGCTGGTGCTAGGGGGTTGGACAGGCAGGAAAGGACTCCAGTGTTTTAAACTGTGAGATGAAGAGTAAGAAGAGTTCCATGTGAAACAACTCCCCATAACACACCAAAAAGACACCCACAAAATACTTTGCCTGCGTGTGGACAGAAAAAATATCTGGCTTCTTGTCTCCATCAGTATTCCAGAGCCACCATTTCAAAGAGGACATGCCTTGATGTCAACTGGGCAGCAAGGCAAAGGTCCCAAAGTAGCCAAGAGCATTTCAGAAATGCTTACTCTCATCTGCAAATCAAGAGAGCACAACACCATCCTCCCTAGCTAAAAGGCTACCACACAGCTCCAGGGAGAAGGCTGCTCATCTAAGACCCATGGCTACTGCTGATCTTGGCCTGTCTATCAAGCTACCTGACTGGGGCACTCCAAACCAAGTTCAGAGCTCTCAGGAGCCAGCCCTGAGGTGGGATAGAGCCATTGTTAGCCAGAAAACTGCTGTGCCATAGCAGGCACAGGCTCTGCCTCCCACACCCTTCCAGCCACCCTGCTGTCATCAGTTCCTGGTGACTCTCCTCATTTCCCCTCCCCGGGTCTGAAGAGCAGCCAGGCAGAGAGTTCAGATCCTGTGAAAGCCACCAGGGTCGGGAGGCCTGTCTATGCCTAGAAATGCCTTCCAGCACTCACATACCTGCCTACACTTGTTCACAAGCACTCACAGCCAGAACAAGGCCAGCCTGTGCCCACACAGGGACATCTTCACCTGCACAGACATCGCTGGTGGCAGGGTGGCTCTCAGGCAGGACTGCCTGCCCAAGGGGAAGCACCAGGCTCAGGCTACCTGCATTCTCCTCCCAGCTCAGGCACAGGCAGGCTGGCCATCTCTGTGTGAGTCACCTTCCCCCTCTGCAGAGGGTAATATCTCAATCATTTTGCTGAAGAGCGTTGGAGCCCAGGGCTGCAAGGCAGCCTGTAGGAGCCAAGTGCTTATTCTATGTCCTGAGCACACGCTCGCTGCTCCTGCGTGCGTCACTGCGTGTGAGCTGAACTTCCAGCAGCCAGGGACACCAGGGAGGGAGGGACAGAGGACAGGTGACATTTCAGATGAGTGCAGCAGGAGCAGAAGTGGTGAAGACGTGCAGGCAGGTGACTCCCAAAATACAAATGTCAGCTGAGGCTCTCACAGCCACTGGGGTGAGATCCCAGGGAAGAATGCAGCATGAGGAAAAGCAAGCAGGGAGGAAATAATTTTCAAAGCTGAGAACTGCAGCATCAGGGAGATGAGACCAAGGCTGAGGAGAAGACTTCAGCCATGGCAGGTAGGCAGAGCCTACAACCACAAGTACTGGAACACTGTGTTTGGGTCTGAGACCCCCAATATTGGAAAGACACAGACCCACTCAAGCAGGTCCAGAGAAGAGCCACAAAGATGACTCAAGGGCTAAAGCAGTTCCTCTGTGAGAAAAGGCTGAGAGAGTTGGAGTTGTTCAGCTTACAGCAAAAGGGTCCAGAGAGAATTTACATCAACCTTCCAGTATTTAAAGAGGTCCTGCAAAAATTGGGGAGGGACTCTTTACCATGGACCATAGTGATAGAATGAGGGGTAATGGCTTTAAACATGAGGAGGAAATATTTAGATTAGATATTAGGAAGAAATTCTTTTCTGTGAGGGTGGTGAGGTACTGAAACAGGTTGCTCAGAGAAGCTGTGGACGCCCCACATCTCTGTGAGTGTGCAAGGCCAGGCTCAGTGGGTCTCTCAGCAACCTGGGCTAGTGGAAGGTCTCCCCTCCCAGAGAACTGGAGAATCTTCAAGGCCCTTCCAACAAAAACCATTCTGGGATTCCCTAAGTGGGCAGAAAGAGGATGAAGGTAAAGAGAGGTGCTTGAATGAAATGAGATCTCAGAGGAGAATGAGTTTCTGCTAGCCCATAGAACAGACAGGGGAATAAAAAACTGTGGGGATAAAAAACTGTGGAATGGTGAGACTGGCAGAATCTTGCTATATAATTTTCATGTGCTGTTTTGCACCCTGGATGGAGGCAATAAAATCCTGACCATGCAGATATGTTGGCTGAGGGGACCTAAAGGTTGGTTTTGAAGGCAGCCACCCAGGGAAAGCTCATCTGTTTGCTGACTGCAGGCAGTAGAGTGGGTTTCCACTGCCGAGATGGTTTTCCAAGCAGCATGGGAGCTTGCACAGGGTGAATTGAAAGGTTCTCCGCCCCTTAGATCAGCACTACAGACACGTTCAAAAGGAGACACACACACAAAATCAGTTTTCCTTTAGACACCTTTTTGGCTCACATCTAAGCCAAGACTTTGCTAGAATTAATCGCCTTAGTGAACAGCAGTACACTCCAATCCAAGCCTTGTGAGGCAAATCTGATGAATGACTTTGGTTGTCTCAGAAAATGACATGCAGTCAAAGTGGTATTTTGAGGAGTGAAGGATAGCATGCCTCTCTGTAAGGACTTACAGTTCCACGGGTGATGGACAGGTTTTCTTCCATCATCTTGAGAGTGATGGGGGAGGAGAGCACAGCACTTCCCCAAATAGCTGGGAGAACCATGCCACCATGAGCAGAGATGCAGAAAGCATGACCTACCAGAAAGGTACTGAGCAAAAGGAAACTGTCTCGACTACAGACCATTGAGAAGAGGTGCAATAACCATCCTCAG